AGACTGTTGGGCGCTTGGAGTGCTACTGTATCGACTCTGCTATCGGGAAACTCCCTTCCTCAAGTGTGACGAAGCTCTGAACTTGCACTACGTATTACCCGATGATGTTTCTCTCGGTAAGCCCGTTATTTGCGACAAAAAGCACAGTCGAATGCAGCTGCTTGACAGAATTGGACGATCTGTTCATGCGGGTATTTCACGAAAACGTGCTCTGCCGAGCCGAAGCCTGGGAGATTCGTCACCACCCGTGGACAATAGCTGGCAGTAGAAAGAGCTACACTCTTAGCGGTCTCATCACTGAAAGTACAGAATAGTGGAGTCAGAAGTTAAGCTAAAACGTGTCGATGTCAGGGGGCATCTGGAAATCGATTGACTTTACTGAAAGCGGAGACGATGGCAGTTAGTTGTCCGAAAAGTAGTTTGCGAAAGCATTTTTGGGGTGTCACCATGCGGGTTGTAATTGCAGATGTTCTATAAGTAATAAGAGATCGATCAATGAAGTGGTAGTATTTCACTTCAAACTTTATTCGAAATAAATTCCAGTAAATAGAAAGCAACACAGGAAAGAAAGCTTTCCACGGCCCAACAATGGAAACTGCCAAGAGAGTGATTAATATAAGTAAGCGACTAAGTTCACGCAAAATTCTTCTCTTGTAAGCAAGGATTAAACAGTCAGTTAGTGACGTCACACAATGGGGATAATCAGCTGATAATCATTTTGTGCGATATGGTGGTGGTGGACGGAATAGCTCTTCATAAGTCGGTAGTGGTGTATGTTTGCATAAACTTCCCGGAGCCGCTCGAACTGTTCCAGTCTCCTTCAACAATATTCCACTGACTGGAGCATCCGATTCACCGAAGTGCACTCCTGAAAGAAGCGTTACAGGTGGCACTTCGGCTATCCTCACTTACTGCAAACATGACGTCTGCCGAGGTGCTTCTTGAAATTTGTTCTCGACCTGAAAACAATTTCGATCACAGATTGCTCAGAATTTTAATTCGGATGGCATTGAGATGTTGCCCACCTCTTCACGAGGAGCTCCTTGAGTGCAATGACCGGTACGGTCATGGCAAAAGCGGCTCCAGCCACGAGCACAACGGGTGCTGCTAGTGACGTCATTGTGTGACGTCACTTACTGATGCTAACAACGTGAACGGCTATAGGGGCCTATGAAGGCAGATCCTGAATTGTGTACGGCAAATTGCATAGTTTCAGTCGTAGAAAAGGTTTTATGCATCACGCCCATCATATGATCATATAAGACGCTCACTCGGCATTATCGCAATGGAAACCAATGTTTTGCTTTCATTATGACCCATACCAATGATGTTGAACATCGCATGTTCTTCATGATACCGCGATGTATAAACTGTGTCATTGAAAAAGAGCTTCAAAGCTCCATTCAACGAAAATGGAAGAAACCTGTAAGCTAAAACATACCTATCCGAATTCGTCAAGGTTAGATGGGAAGCAGCGGAAGAAAATTAGCGGAGCCAAGATGGTAGACGGGAAGGCACAAGACCTGAAGGTACTTGATCACAAGAAGCTGTTACGTGTGCAACAAAGAAGCAAATGAAAATCAGATAGATCGTTGCGAATGACAAGGTAACGGATAACTTGCTCTGAAGCTTACCAGTAAGTATCAGAAGATGAGCGTATTGAAGGTGAGCGTTCAGGCGAATGAAGTTAAGGGACCCATCAGTGCTCTTTTATAGAGTAGAGCAGTATGTAAATTTTGGCCTCGAAAAGCACAAATAGTCGTCGGCCATGTTCACCTAAGCGCGTCAAAATATCGAAAAATCGAACGAGCGGAGCGATCAAATCACATTGATGTCATGCTGATATGGGAGGCGTAGACAATGAAAGTATGCCGATTGTGTGATGAGTCTGTTTCGTATTGAGGATTTGTCGAATGCGAAATGAGCGATTGGAATGACAGCAGCTCCGCTGGCATTTGATTTGGCCATACAATGGTTTTTCATCAATAGCGTGACCACGTCTACACCTGTGCTGACGAAGTTGCTGTTAGTCCATTCTTCTATGAGGAGTAGGAAAGATTGTGTCATGCAATGACTGAAAACAGATTGCCGCACTTGCTGACGGAAGTGGTGCAGGAGGAATCAAAGGTTTTGTCGCCTGTATCCGCAAGATCTCATTGAGAGCGCCAGCAATGTGGAGAAAATTTGGTAACTACCAACTTGACAGTGATATCTGTGTTGAAACAGTTCCTTGTACTCTGTTTTGAAAGAATCTTGAAGGAGAAGATAGATTTGGACTGAGCTTTCAGAAACAGTTTAGGCTGAGGAGTAACTCAAGGTTCACCACTGTTCTAACAAAGTGAAACTGATGACTCTCTGAAAGAAATCTTACTTGTTTCGCTATGAAATTTCATGTTTCAGATTCTTCATCAGACTTTTGATTCAGGAATTTGATGAATGTGAATTGAAAGTTTTGGCACCTCCAGAGTGGCATTGATAAATTCACGACAAGGCCGACTTTTCGATGACTGCCATCTCGGATCAGAGCATATTGCGTAATGAGTTCGCGTAATATTTTCTAGCAAATAGGTCACTTGGTCTGACTTGTTGACCTTTTGGAAAGTATTCACAGAGATGTATACAGAAATCTATTCAGCTTGCCCAGAAAGTTTCATTGTAGGCCAGCAAAATCAAAAACTTCAGGAACCATACGACCCACTAGTGGGTCCTCTTGTCCGAAGCAGGATACGACCCACCGTTGGGTCCTAATGTCGTTCAAAAACTTCGAACTTGTTGACGTAAGAAATATTTTAAGCCTTTTTCGTTTTGGTGATTTCACATAGTACTACTTCATCGCATGCCGTAGTTCTTCAAGAGGTCAGAAGGTAAAATCGATTTCTTCAGGAACTGCCCGCTCCTTCAGGGTCAAAAATGAAGTCTAACTGTAAGCAGGGACTGCGACCAAGCAACAGTTGGATCACATTTGTTAGATTCCCTTGTTTTAGCATATCACTTCTTTTACTCCTCAAAGATTGGAATACGCAGATCTCTTAGAAGTATAAGTACTAGTACTTATACTAGTACTTAAAAAGTAAAAGTAAAAGTTAGTACTTAGTACTATAAGTACTAAGTACTAACTTTTGACACCACTGTAACTGCATTTGACCTGCGCCTTCGTCGTTCAAACCTCTAAAAAGCATTGGGCTTAACTCTAATAAATAAAATCGTCTTTCGTAGGT